TTTTTAGAGTAAACTGTGTTTGCAAGCACTCCCACCCTCTGAGTTTGGCCCAGATTGACAGGAAATTACTTTCCCCGAAAGGTAAAAAAAAAAGAGAAGTTGTGGCTGCCACAGCGTCTCAAGCATATCAAAATTTCTTTGGCAAAAAACTTTCATATGTATCCCTATTGTACATGATGTGCAAATTTAATTCATTATCTATAACAAATTATTTCAGTGCAAAAATGATGTAATTTTTAATTTAGCAACATTTTTTTTTATCTTAGCAAGGAGTTTTAAARGAAGATTTGTACACAGAAATGTATTTATGTGTAACATTATAAGTCCAAACTGGTCTGAGATTTCATTCTGTTTTTTGTTCGTGAGAACTGTTAGCTCCTTTTTAAACAACTGTATCATTCCCATGTTGACAAAGACACTGACCCCAGCCAAGAACACTGCATTTGGAAAAAGCTGATGAAACACAAAATGCTGAGTATGTTCAGCCAGAAACCTTTCTCATCTTTTTTCCTTAAGACTCAGYGGCAAAAGTGTACTTCAGAAAACAAATGAAAAATCCATGTTCCTGAGTTGGGCCACGCCACAAGAGTTACACCTATCGTGAATTTGGCATCAAAGAAGCACCAAGGTGTGGGCTGGTCACGGGAAGAGCCCTCAGGTTTGGGGGAGTCCAGCAGGTCCCTGATGGGGCAGGATGCCCATCCTTGGACTGATGTGCTGTCCCCCATGGAGGCGGGAGGAGGGCAGASGGTGCCAGGCCCTGGGGRGACRGGGACAGGGATGGGCTGGGTGAGCCCTGGCTGGTGCTGCCAACTGCACACCAAGGCTGCTCACTCACATTYACTGCCTTGAGCGACAATGCTCAGCTTTGCTACCGCTTCCTTGTGGGTTTTGTCCACTTCCTTAGCCCTGGCTCAATAGTATGGGCAGAACAATGTGAGTCACATGGAGGAATTAATCTGACTTCTGAAAAAAAAAAATGGTGTGGGAAAGTACCTTTATTTTAACAAGGGAACATTTGACCTGGATGATTTCCCAATCCAGATGAGGGCAAGGGCCCCTGAACAGCTGTGACAGCACAAGCAGGGGACAGCACACCATGATGGAGGGATGGGAGCGAGAGGAAAGGTTGGGAGTGGCAAGAAGAAGCCAGTGGCACCTGAAGCTGATCAAGTTGGAACCCCAGTCCCACACATCTACCAGTCAGACTGAAGTGGAACAAAATGAGTCCCGCCCTTTCCATATATTTATGAGTTGCTCAGTATATACAGTATTTTATTAAGTGCAGCACCCAGCTGTGGTGAGAGAAGAAAAGGAAATGAGCAAAATACTTCCCCAAATTTCAAAGTTTTTGAGTGCTGAATCAGAAAACTTGATAAAAGCTGAAAGGGTGTCAATCTGTTGGTATTGTTTATCCTTAGCCAATTAGGGGACTCTGCAACTCAGCATTTGGGATGAACTGGGGTCTGGATCCATGATCATCTTGAAGCACACRTGGTTCAGATAAAATAAGTCAAACTCTTATTTCTGTTGTCTCTGGAAATCAAGATATATTTCTCAGGATCAAGTATGGTTTAAGAACTGTTTATAGCTGAGAACATCATCATAAAGGTTTTCTGCTGCTTCAAACTCTCCCTTCTCCAAAAACGTTGTATATTACAAGCTGTATCRTGTCTCTTCAAAGACTGGACCATACAACCTCTATTAGGTGAATCAATTAGTTCATAGTTTATTTTAAGAGTAGTATTAATTTAAGGGTAACTGAAGGTAAGAATTGCTTGTTACCAAGGTTTTRACTATATTCCATGTTTCTCCATGTGGTGTATACAAGGTGGTCCCGCCCTGCATCCGTTTCCAGGCAGCCAGACATGATCCCACTCTGGATTCTGCCTGGTAAAGGCACTGATGCAGCACCACGTAGTGACCCTGTCCTGGGGGTGACCCATCTGTGGACCAAAGGGACCCAGTACATCCTGATTTTGGTGCTGGCTGCTGTAGTTGGTCATCCCTCACGGGAGCACTCAAGATACGAGAGGCCTGACATTCACCTGGGCAAATTCTGTCCTCAGCCAGCAGCAGAGCTACCTCCAACTCCACCTCTTTCCAGGGACATTGTCTTATGGTAAGCGTTTTTTTTTTTTCTACAAAAGAAAGGGCTCTAACTTGGTGAAATAGAAAAGAAATTGTGAAATTTCATTCACTTAGATACTTGATTCCTTCAATAATTATTAAGAAGCCCAAATTCTGATTTTGCTCTTCTACCTAAAACAACCTAGTGATGCAGATGCAGAACTGGGCTTGCAGCTCTTCACAGAAATGTACGACCCAAATTCAAACACCTTTATTTCCAGATAGGTGAATTACTGCAGACACTCATGCACTCTTCTGTGTGAAATCATAACCTAGGCTAAAGAAGAACCATTGGATGAATTTAGACCTGACATAAACTGGCAGAGCCTTACGTACTGGTACAGATCTCAACAAATCTTTCCTAATATAGAATATACACCACAGACTGAATCAGGAACATGGACACTTCACCCAAAGCTTTTGTTTAGTTTGAATGTATTTCCCTCAAATTACCAGAACTTTAGCTGATGTAGAYTCTTTTTCAGTTTAATTGAATTTATGCTACCCAAATAAGTTGTCTATTTAAGTCTTAACATCATTTATTCTTACAAGCATATGGAAATAATGAAAAAAACATTACAAAGTGACACGGAACATTTTATAAACACATTTCACTGACACAGTGCATAAGCATTACAACATTTTCACTTCAGCTCCACAGGACAGCRTTACACAAAACAGGAACATCCAGTTTAAATACGAAATGACACTGGTGACAGGTATTTAGCAAAACTGGGCTAATAGTTTCTGTGCTCTCAAGATACTAAAGTACGTGTGAGTTCCCTTGAAATTTAGCAAACTCTGAACTGAATAAAGAAGCTAAAGCAGAATATATATATATATATATATATATATATATATATATATATATATATATATATTTCATAAAGTAAACACCATAACTTCAGTATAAAGGATTAGCTTTTAATGGCTGACAATTTTTCTAAACTTCAATTTTAATGATTTCTCTCCCCGATCAAAATAAGGAAATTTTTTACCTTTACTTTTGCTGTCATCCATTGCTGTTACACATCACAAAGCAAAAGGTCAGTGACAAAGCTCTCCTGGAGCTTCTCAGCACATGATATTACAGAGTGACTCACTGTAGTCCCTAGGTCACTCAGTCTCTGCTTAACTGAAGTAAATTCCATTTTTTTAAGGTTTAAGGGCAGCCTCAACMTCCACTGCAGGTCTGCTGTGAGCTGAATCTTTGGCTGGAGTGAATCTGAGCATCACTGTTCACAGTGATGAACCTGACCCAGGCAAAGCAAAGATAGTTTTTGTTATGTGGAATTACCATGAAGAAATGTTCAGAGATAAGGAGATTACATAGAATACAGCAGATTATAATTCATGCATGTAAAAAAAGTAATTTAGGACAGCCTCAAGGAGGCCTGGATAAGAGCCAGATTCAGATCTCCTCACACAGTTGAGTATCTTCTCCATATAGCCTTGCTGATTTTAATCAAACTGCTACAGAAATAGGGTGCTGTGTAGTGGGAGCAATGTAGCCAGCCCACAGATGATCAATAAACACACCAGAAAGGGCAAAAAACCCTTAGACCCATCTGTGGGTTTCTTATTAATGTCTGTGTGCGTGATCTGGAACAATACTCAGTTCAACACATCATACAAAAACCTCAAAAGGAAATCATTTTAGTAAGTCAGAATGGTGTAGGGGATTTCTTGGGCTTGTCTAAAATTCTGTGAAGGCAYCCATTGTTTTTTACATTGAAAAGCTGTGTGGAAGACAGATAGGTCTTTGATGAAATACATTTGTTCACACATGAACGTGAACCAATGAATAACTGCAAATGGACATGGCAGAGCCTGACAGGACAGCGTGTTATGGATGCTAAATTAACCAGTAATCAGGAGTTTATTAAGCCATACCACCTTCAGAGATCTCCCATCTGARGCCAAAGGCTACAAGCCAAAGTATTTCAATGAATAGAGTTCTTCATTTTCTGCTGGCCTGCTGAGGGAAGMACACTGACAGTAGGATCTGTCAGCYTGTTCTCGTTTCCCACTCACTGACCAGCCAGCAGAAAGCAAAGGCCTGCAGCATCTCCAAAGGCAGCAGGGATGCCAAGCAGCAAGGCTGTCTCCTTCCCAAGGGGTTGGGGTGAGCAAAAAAGCGCTTTCCTATTTCCTGCCCAGGCAGAAGTGCTGCTGGGAGCTCAGAAGCCCCTCACCTTAAAGTAATTGCAGAGATGTTCAGTCAAACAGTATCTTTGAAACTGGTGGCACAACACTAATACTGGAAATATCAATACCCCTAGAAGTAACATGGGTCAAATTAGTCCTCCAAACACTGAAATATGATTTTTTTAAAAGTCTGTGCTGATGGATAACTCCATACTCTTCCCATTGTTGATGCAGAAGCAGTAGGATCAGTGGATGTGGCCCCGGGCACAGTGCAGCTGATCACACAATGTGCCACTTGATTTCAGCAAGAGCTGCAGAGCCCAGCTTGCAATCCCAGGTCCACAAGACTCTCCTCACCACGATGTCAAATTACCCAGCCCTTAAACAAAGAGGTTCTGTGTTCTTTTTTTTCTTAAATTTCTACAGGGTTGAATCTTTGTACAAGTTCATTCAACTTTTTTACTCAGGTAAAACTTCCTCTGCCCCAACAGAATCTTTATCTGTAGAACATATGAGTGAAACTCAAGCTAGGAGTAAAGGAGCAGRCAAAAAATTGTTTTAAAATTTTTAATGTCTAGAAAAGTTCCAAGAGTGGGAGATGAATAAAACAGAATAAAATTATTTAAACAACAATGCCTTTTCCCGTTGCAATAAAAATTTGCTAAGAAACTGAACTCTTAGAGGCACCATTTTTTWCTTTCTTTTCACTGCCTTAGAAGACCTTAGTGTGCAGAACAAAGCAGAAGAACCTGCATGGCTCCTAAGAGGAAAATGAAAAGGTTTTGTTTTCTTGATCTACTAAACACCACATGAACCCAGTGCTCCAATAGCCTTTGGTCAGGCAATTCACAAAATATCCCTGTCCAACCCTGGTAACACTGACAAATGAATCTCTGCTTCATGGCTTCAATGCTCTCCAGGCTGGGTTTACCTGTCACCTGGAACCTGGGGCCCCTCTCTGAGTGACGGTTGTGGATTTTAAAATCAGTGGGTGACAAGTGAAGGTAAGCAGAGGAGTCGCTGTTTTTGCGGATACATCTTCCATTCTTCTTGCACAGGACTTTGCTACAGAGTTTGGCTGCTGAGGTCACATTAATGACATAATGTCCTAAAGGTCCATCAATGTAGCGTTTCACAGTTAAGCAGCTCTCCTGTAAATARCAACAGACCATGACACATTTCTCAGGATCTAGCATTATGTCCAATTTTAATACATCTAAAGAGATGCTAGTTCTAAACTGTTCTTGGCTAAAGTAATCCATTGAGATAAATCATGTTGGATTTACAYACTGGAGTGATCTATTGGGTTTAAATTATCTCCTTTACATGGATAAGATTAGAAAAGTATTGATCTCTGTGGTATTTTCTATTTGAGTGCCTGGTAGGAACATACAGTATGAGATGAGGGAGAAGTCCCAGGAAGCAGAAAGAGGGTTCCTATGGTAATCTGGGACTAACTGGCTCCTTCAGTAGAGATTTCTGGATACTGCTGATGAGGAGAAGTGCATAGGACTAATAGGTTTTAAAGCACAGGTTAAGTCACCACTYTGGCCCTGAGCTCTCCAATACCTTCAGTTTACCAGGAGACACATAATTTTCATAAACCAGCACAGAAGTTGCTGCAATTGCAGCCAGAAAGTTCCAGTTCACTTTTCCTGCTTTGTCTGACCAAATCAGTGGTACTTTGCCAGAGACTTCAGGAGTAGGAGAGCAGACTGCATGAAAAGCAGAGTGAGCACCGATGCCCAGTCCAGGTTTAGGAATGAGGGCTGGCCTGCCATGCCTCCTGGGAAACCCCAGTGCTGCCTCCCATCCCCTCCACATCACTTCAAGAAGATATATTTGTGACAGTGCAGAACTGGGAGGAGTAACTAGGGATTTTCTTGGGCTATWGTTTTCATGTATCATTATTTACCACCGAAGAAAACACCTCACCACCAGGWTCCCTTCCTACCCAGCTGATCTGTACAACTGCCATCGTTACAAAGTGGAACACTGTAAAACAAGCTGTGTTTATATTTGTATGGTTTTGGTTTTTTTTTGAAACATGTTTTTCTCTTCACCTGGACTCATTATTCTACCGAGCTGCATGCAACCAGCCCAAAGCAATCAGCCTAACAAAAGTGTAGAACTAAATAGAGCTGGAAGCAGTCCTGAGCCATCAGGGCTCATCCTCAGCTGCTGGCTGACCTTGATAAAGGTAGATAGGGGCCACAGGAGGCGGTGTCAAAGAGGTATTGAGGTGATTTCTGAGAACTGATAAACTGCCAGGACCTACCTTAGAGCTGGCATATTGCATACTGCCCCAGAGAACAACTCCTGCTGCTCCCAAAGCTGCGCTTTCCCCGATGGTGTTGACCAGATCCCTCTGAAAAAGAAGGCCAAATCCACACATCAGAAGAACAAAGATACAAAAGTAAAAGCAAAAAAGCACTGGGATATGGCCATCACTTCTTTTTTTCCCCAGAGGTAACACTGATCCTGCAGCATGTTCTTCACAATAAAATCACTGTTTAGTTTAGAAAGCTCTTCTGCATCTCTCCAAAGGTCTGGCATTCATCAGTGCACCTACCAAATAATGAAATCCTTAAGGTTCATAAGGGTTCCCCCAACCCAACTGGTGGAGTGAGAGTGGAGTGATCTGTTCAATCTACCAGTCTTTGAATTCGTACCAAACCTACATAGGCAACACTTTTTGGCAAGTCATGGTAAGTACACTCACACACGACTGGATCACCCTTGCAGTGTCTAATTGCAGTTGATAGGCTTTAGGCAGGGCTCTAACTCGTGCTGTTTCAGCCATGCCAGCAGAGTGGGGGCTGCTGCTTCTACCAGCAGGAATGCCATTAGTCCAGGAAACATGTCTTTGAAAAATGAATCTCTCTGCCTGCTACAAGTGCCAAGTGAGGGGAAAAAAMCACAAATCACATACATTTGCATACTGATTTAACCATGTTCACTTTTAGAATTGAAGAAATAAGGAGCCGAGTTGTAGCGATAACAATAATACAGCTCTACCAGAGCAGCCTGAATGTAGATGAGGAGTCACGAGCGCTTTGCCAACAGCATGGCAGTGTGTTTTGCAAGTGTCTTAAAGCCATTCTCTGAGATTATGAATATTGTGTCTAAAAAAATGCTGTTAAATCTTMAAAAAGATTTCATACCTGAAGTCCCTGAGGCACCTACTCTTCCACTTTCCTGTAATCTAGAATCACCACCTTGACAACACTGAGAAATTGAGCACTTATCTTGGGCTAAGGTCAAAATCTGCCATTTTATWGGAAGGTATGTTTTCCTAGGGATTCTTAAAGGACTCTTACAGCAGCTGCACAGGTGCTGGATGCTGGTGAAAACAGCAGTTCACTGCAAAACTATTGTATAGGATTTRATTTAAACACTTTCCTTACCCCTTACATTTCCTATTTTTGTATTCTTTAAAACATCAAGAGTCCTTCCCAGAAGAAGAGAGAAACAGAAAGACCTGGTCTAATACATGATCTCCAGCTAACCTTCCAGAAGGGGTTGCCTTTATCATGAGGTTTCAAATGACATTTCTGTCTTATGCTATTTCCCTTTGCACCGGGTCAAGGAAGGTTCAAAGGAGAGAAAGAGAAATAACTGGGAACCCAAMTGCAGCTTATTATATATTTGTCTTAATAATTAGGTAACCCACCCACAAAGAAAGATGTAAGGTTTCTGACTGTCATTTCTAGGCATAATTATGTCTTYTACTGAATGAATGTGCCAGGCTCAGTAGCTCAAAAGCCATCAACAAAAGGGCTTTCCCCAAATGACCTAAGGACAGGAGGCTACACCCTCGCTTTTATTTTTGCTCTCTTATCACTTGTTCTTTTTGGTCTGATGACCCCTTAACTCTTTACTGGTGCCTGATACAGGGTGCTGGATTCATCCTGAGCAGGCTGGGAAGAGAACAGAGCCAAGACCTTCTGCACCAGAGGCAGGTGCTCTCACCAGAGCTAGAAAATAAAGATTTCATTCCTCATTTGGGTATTTTGAGAGAAGAGAAGATATGTGCCTCTCCTAATAGCTGAGAGTGGCAAATTGGGAACAGATGTAAGGAGGTGCCTCCATGAAGAACTGAGTGAGGTACATGAACTCCACTTGCAGCCTCAGGCACAGCARTCCTGGTTTTGGGATTGGATGAATTGCCCCTCCTCACACAGCGCAGCTCAGCATTGGCTGGGGCTCACTGGTGTGGCTCTTCTGTGTGGGAGTAAGAAAAGCCTTGCATGGAAGAAAACCTGCACTTTTTAAAAAGATAGATATTTTAAATGTCAATGTCTTGGCCTCTGTTTAGGTGGAGAATCCTAATTTGCTCTTTGTATCAGACATAGGCAAGTGATGCTTCTCCAGATGATTAAAAGTCAACAATCCTTTCTGGTGTGATGCACMTTCTTGTTCAAGCTTTTGGGGGCAGTGTGCAGCTTCCTAAGATCCTCAAGAGTATGCTGGGCTATGTCCAAATGGACAGCTGATTTAGCAGGGAGGAGGAGGCTCCAGTGTCTGTCAGTGTTTCTTGGTGTTTAGATCTCCCAAGTCGCTCCACTGGGCATTAAAAAAAAAAAAATAGGAGGTGAACTAAACCATTTCTGTTTTGGCGCTTGGGACGAAACAAGACAGTCAGTTCTAGTTACATGTTGAGGAAAGAAAAATAGGTACATCTGTAATCTTTCCTTTGAATTTTGAAGAGAAAACAAGAGTTTTCTGCATTCAGCAATGGCAGTGCTAGCCTGGCATGGCTCAGGGAGTGGTCTCTGTACGAATGCACACCTGAGCATCAGAGAAGACTGCCTGGAGGGGAACAAGAGGATTGTTATCTGTTATTAATCATCTGTCAGCTGTCATCCTGCTGKATTAATGACTTCAGCCATCTAGTCAGGAAGCACATATGCTACTGTGCAACTTCCCTCTCCCACACACTTAGTAGTGAATTGTCAAGGCAGAAAGTTTCTAAATACCCTGCAGATGGCAAAATGCTTATACACATTTCTAGCAAATACAAAAACTGCTCATAATGATTTGGACCCCAATTCAGAACTTAYTAAGTTTCCAAGATAAAAAGCAGGAGTAATTTGTCAGACACCTTATGCACAACTCGCCTGATTTCTGGATGCAGTCAGGGTGAAAGGTACAGCACACAGAGCTACAGTCTCTGTCTGGGACCTGGGCCTTTCATCTTTCTGAAGGTTTGACAGACCTGTGTCACTCCCTCAGTGACTCTGACTCACAACCATTCTTCCTATCTGACTCCACTGTGCCATTTCACATAAGCCCTGTGTGCAGAAGGGGCTGCTCACAAGCCTTGAATGTGTCAGTAGTGTTCCTGTTGGAACAGAATGTACAGCTCTTGCACAGTTTGATGGAGCAAGGCTGTGGTTGTCCTGGCCCAGTCCMTGACAGAGGTCAGGTAATTATCCCATTTTCCCACTATCCCAATTTTTTCTATGGCCATTTATCCTGGATGTCACTGTTCTACACTGGTATTTTTCCATGTCACTGTCATGCACATTGTTTCTGGAGCTCAGAGGTTTCATGCCTTGTTTGTAATTTTGTGAACATCCCTTAGGGGCATGACATGGGCCAAAAAATGTGAAACTCCAATCTAGTCTAAAATCTGAAAATACAAAACCACTTTTAAATCATCCTGGTGKCTCCCTGGCTATGAAAGAAAACAAGAACATTATTTTCTGGATCATTCCTACATAGAAGGTTTTTAAATGCAACCCTGCAAGCTTCTGTCAGACCCCAAGCTGTTCTCACAGATGATGTGTRTAGTCTGGACACATTAAGCCCTTTCCCATGCTGAGTACCCAGCCCATGCTGTCCTTATTAGAAAATATGCAGTGTAGAATAATCCAAATATGTTTCTCTGGCTATGCAAAGATCTTTCCTGACTGCAGAGCCCTAAAGCAAACTTTAAAGCATCCAAAAGTGACTGCTACATGCTACTGAAAACAGACTGGTGACTTAAAGAATGTAACCTGAGAGGAGCATGACTCCAAATTACAACCATACTGTTCAGAAAACAGCTTAAGGCAAAACAGGTAAAAAAGGTAAATATATACTGCCACAGATTTTGAACTCACTCATAACTCGTAACAGCATTCTAGTTTTTGTAGCTTTCAGTAACATCCACGGTMCTTTTATATTGATCAAGGGACTAATTAATTCTATAAAAATGTGTTGATACAGACTGCATTTAAAGAATTCTCACGTATTTCCTAGCCTGAGTTCTTCAGTGAAGGTGTTCTGGGTGACATCCTGCCTGTACTGACSCCAGTGCCCCCTTGCCTTCAGGACCAGACTGTCCTATCTGCCCACGATTTCTGAGTCAGCTAGGATCTGTGATTTCCACGGAGRAAACAGCTCCAGAGAGTTCCTGGTTGCTGAAAATGAGCCAGACCAAATTCATGATTACTTCTATGCACAATTTGTTTCCCGGGGTCAGCCTGAAACATTTCTCAGGCTGTCAGGGATCTGCTGCACCTCCTCAGCTCCAGCTCCAGGCTGAAGCCCCCCACAGCCTGTGGTTCACTGGAATGAACTTTGCCTTTTCCTTTGCCTCTTCTCTTCCTTTTTCTGTTCTGGTTTGAGTCAAGGACTTGCCTCTGGCAGCTGTAGAAGCAATGTCTCACCCAGCTCTCCATAAAATAAAGGGATGGAGCACCTCCAGATGCCCTTTGGCATCAAGGCATTATTTCCATGACTTCCCTGCCCCAGACTTTTTTTCGTCTCATGGAATTGACAGAAAGCAAAAAAAAAAAAAAAACAAAAACTTTTGGAACTTGATACAACTACTACAGAAATGAATAAGCATCTGTGCCTCCCTATTATGTGCAAAAACAAAGTCAGAAAAACAATCATCATTACATATCCAGAAAGTCTGATATTTGCACATATATAATTTATCATCAGTGTCTCTGTATATGTTTGTTGCACTTGATCATTGGTTGATGGAACAATGTATGACTCAGAACCATGGTTTCTTTGATAAAAGGACTCCAGGGTTTAGTACTAAATGTTGTATGTGAAGTTGTTATACTTCTCAAAAGTGAGATAGGTGGTCAGTGCTCATTGTGCAGGAGTTAGGAACTCCAGGCCAGATTACTTTACTTGACTAGTTTATCTCTATACTGAATGAATTTACATTTGCATAAAGAAACARAAAAGCCCTGAGGCTCCTTTCTCATTAAAGTTTATCTTTCTATTGCACTAATTAGTTTTAAACTTCACAAAACATGTCAAGTTCACTTCTCAAGCTGGCCTGAAGAATTAAAATATCAGAATGAATTACTTCCTTAAGGAAATTATTTCTTTGTACTTTCTTTCTAAATTACCCTCATTAAAAATATACAATGTTATCTCACAGAGGTAGACCAAACCACTGCAATATTAACTCTTGAAAGGCATAGAGTTTTGTACTATGACTACAGTACTTCCTCTCATGGGCTGCCTAAATATGAAAAACAAATCTAAGTGCTTTTAYAWGGGRAAAGCCTYTAGAACATATTTTTKCTAAGWRGTTATTTCTAATTTCTAAATTTCYAAATAAGTCTMTCTGCTTACCTCTGTTAAAACATGAAACGTATAGGCATAAAATGGTCTGGAGTAAACAAACACAGGCAAAACATAGTCTTTTCTAGCAATGGAGGCAACACGTATTGCCTCTTTAACCCGATAGTGAACAAATTTTAGTGCATTTGTRCTTGACTTCAGTACATAATCCAGGTATATAGAAGGGTAGAGAGCGGTGCTTTCCTTCCACAGCCAGAGCAGGAGGTCATTGCGGAAAGACTCAATGGGTGGGCATTTCCCTGTGTATGTCTGGGGGTGTTCTTTGTAATCRTAATTGTAGCAGTCTGGGTAGAGATAGTAACCCCACAAACCGTTTGGTCTCATATGCTCAGCCAGAAGRATGGTGTTATTCATGAAACTCCTGCCAGCATTTTCAAATTCCTCTTTAGCYGCTTTCCTAATTTTGTCCTCTGACCACCGAGGATGCCGTCTCCTAACAATCTCAAGAGATTTATTTCTATAAATGCTTTTATTGCCCCAGTTCCTATCCCACTGGGGCCTCCAGTTCTCCCAGTCAATGACTGCAAGTCCCTGAAATTTCTTCATGGGTATGCAGTAGTCAATGTCAGACTTGGCTTTGCTAAGGTGCTTGATAAGGCTTTCATTCTGGGGCACTCCTCCATTAACGGGATCCCCGTTATCTGAATAGTAGGGATAGTATCCCAAATGAGTGTGGTAGAAGATTGTCACATTGGACCCACTCAAGGTCTCATTGATGTTGGCTGCAATGTCGAAAACACCRAGATCCAGGTCCACCTTGTAGCGCAGCCTGCACTGCTCGGTGGGCGCGTTCCAAACCACCACGAAAGGTTTGTGCAGCACCAGAGGGGCCCGCGCTGGCTTGGGCAGGCGAGCGTCAGCCAGAGCCAGCAGGGCCATCACTGCCAGCTGCCTGACCCCAACATCCATGGGGGAATCGCTCGGATGTGTCCCTGAAAACAAAACCAAGGGAAGATGTTAGAAGGGCAGCATGGAGGCAGATTTGATGATAAGGGAATGTCTTTTGGTTGGATTTGCTTTTGGTAACATTCAACTCAGCACAATGAGAGAACCAGCCAACCAAAAAAACAAATAAGCTACAGAAAGTACTTTTTCCTTCCAGGAATCACAGTACTCTGCACTCCTTCTTTGAATGCAGAAAAATATCTTTTTACATAGGTAACTAATTTTTCATTATTTAGACTGAATTTATTTGCAGTACATGTGACCGAATCCATAATATAAACAGAGRCTTTTTCAAAAAGTGATCATTCAGATGAAATGAGAAGAGCACAAGAACAAAAGATCCTTGGTGAATTTCTGTGTACCACAAATCTGTGAAAAGATCCCAGCTGCCTATTCCCTCAATCCAAATGCTGGATTGTTTGTTATTATGTACATATAATTAGATCATTTTGTCAGATATTAATGACTAATACAGTACAGCTCTTGTCCAGATCTGAGAGCCCTAGACATYAGAACATTGCAGAAAATAAATCATAACAGAGTTAGTTCAGGAGATAATATTGCAGGGTAATTTTAAGTTACATATTTTTAGTTCTTGGGCAATTCTTGTTACTGTCCTCGACAAGACTTTAAAAAACAGAGTGGTTGAGGTTGGAAGGGACCTCTGGAGGTCACCTGGCCCACCCCCAGAGCTGGTCACTCAGAACTATGTACAAAAAAAACACCTCAAGTGACAAAATTAAAATGTTTATCTCAGGAAATGTCAAATAATTCTCAAGGGTCTTTTGACTGGATTGACCAAATCTTTGAAAGTGTGAAGAAGGCCTGACATGTTGCTCAAATCTAGACATGCAGATTTCTGCACTTACAAGATGAATCTCACAAAAAGAGACATAAATCTGTCTGACACTGCTCAGGTTGTTCAGAAGTTAGGGTCTGGTCAAGGACAGTTATTCAGGATCCTCAAGTGATACTTGATACCTCTGAAAGTTGCTATAAATTCCTTATTTAAAAATACATGGAATTAGTCACCCAGCTGTCTCTATTAATCTAAACTGGTGAGTGCATGGATAACATAGATAACACAGATAACARCCTACCTTTTAAATGGCTAAAGCATCTCATTGCAATTAAAGTACTGTATTTCATGGCAAAGCATCTCACTTTCCCTGCTACTTTCTATTCCACACAGAAAACCTTACGATATACACAATTCCTTTAAAGGGAGATAATTAGAAGAAAAAATTGTCATTTGAAAAAGCTCCAATCTAGTTGAATTAATCTGCAMTTAATTCTGATGCTATTTGAAGATGGGAATTACAGATGCTTTTTCTTTAAAAAGTCTTCTGAAGGCAAGTAAACAAGTTTTCAAATAAACACATAAGCCTATAGTTCTGAATGTGGAGAAAATAAATTACCTGTTGTTCCACAATTGCATGAAGGAGCCTCTAAACAAGAACAAATCATCTTTTATTACAATTTCCATTGCTCTATCTTTGGACTTTGTCCTTTGCTCTCATGCATGGACACTAATTGGACTGCTTTAATCCCTGTTTTTTAATGAGCACAGACACTAACGATTCCTCCTTGAAGCTCATTATCAACTTTGATTCAAATTCTTTCTTTTTTTTCTTTTTTTTTTATTCAATGACACATTATCATGGTCAGTTTAACTTCTCAAAGATGCAGATAGCTTTCTGTGGCACTACAGTGTTTTCAAAGCAGAATACGCTCTCAGAGTTTCTGCTCTATATTSTAAAAACAAAAATGAGTTCTTCACAAGTGAATGAAAGGGGGCCTGATCATAAATCTCTTGAAGCTGATGAGGTTTTTTTTGTTGTATTCAGGAAATTCTGGATCACATTTTCACTGCACAAAATAATGCAGTTTTCTATTTGCCTCAGTTTCTGTTATGCAGTTTAGGATGAAGCAGGTTGTGGCTGGATTTCAATATATCCTTTAGTAAGCGTGGATTTTGCCATTTCTTGAATAGGAAAAATAATTTTTGCATATTCCTTTCATAATTTTTGTAAAAAGAAACAAGAACACACTTTTCACAAGCAACTGCTGTTAAGTTAGTCCAGCCTCCATTCAACTGTGTTTATTAGCCAGAATTCCATTATATTTTGCTTTCCAAATAGTTGAAAATAACTGAACTAGGCATTTTGATTGCACACTTTTGTTCCAAAATATACCACTTAAAATTAATAAAAATATAGACTCTTATGCTAAAGAGACCTATTTACACACCATGTGCTTCAGTACAGACCAATGGTGCTCTGTAGATGGACAGTTCTTCTTCCCTGATGGTCTTTATTGATTTTCCCAGCATTTTTTTGCAACACATGACATTGAAGCTGCTGCTGATTATTATTTTTATGTTATATATGATCATATAACCAGACAACACAACTTCATAACAGCCAGCAAAATAATTCTCTCATTTTATACTCATCCATGTGCTGCCTTGAAGTATGGTCCATACAATTAGCTATAACACAATTGGTTTAATAGTGAAGTATGAGTTATACTGCACATCTGTCACCAAACTCAATAAATACTTCAGAATTCAGAAGCAAACTTTAAAAAAATATCTGTAGTTCCTATGGTAACAGCCCCTTATGATTCTCTCATTAAGCAGTATCTGACAAATATAATTTAAAATCCAGAGTAGGAAACAGTACAGTTAAATCAGTGGAAAGATGATCTTTTCCAACAGAAACGAGTCATGCTTTATGATCTAAACCAGATTTACAATAATTTTCCAAGTTTATTTTCAGCCTCTCATATGTGCTATTGACTCCTGTCTTGCAGTTGCTGAGTGCAGCTCTGTACTTTGTTTCATGGCAAACATATTTCTCATATTCTCATATCTGTGGGAAATCATTTTCCTTGGAGGAGAGATAAAATCTGATGACACTTAAAAAGGGAAATAATGAAACTGAATTGTTTGAATTCCACTGAGGAATGTATAAAATTGGGGCCTAGAAGAAGTGTCCCTGTTTGAATGTAGGCTGACCACGTTTGGTGTACAAGTCATTATTATGGTTAAGAAATACACGCTTTTTAACTGCACTTAAGCTTTTTTTTTTTTTTTCCATACAATCACATTTCAAATTACCTTGCAAATAATTTGAAAAATCTTGTGCATGGATACATTATTCTCTATGAAGTGCAATTTATATGTATATAACATGTATTTACAATGTGTTTATCTACACATGTATTTATATTTCAGTCTTCTTAGGGAATAAAGGAAAGACCAAGTCTGTCCAGCCTGCCTCTGCTTTTAATTTTCCTGTTTCAAAATTATTCAAAATGTTTTGTTTTTCCTGGTTTTGTTGATTAATAGCTTRCATTAGTAAGCTGGTAAAATGAGGAGAGAATACCTTTGTCCWTCTCACCAGAAGTATTCTATCCTGAAACCTTCTGTGGTCCAAAAATATAAAACTGCATTAGAGAGAGATTAAGCATCCACTGCCTCCTCACAACTACCAGTTTTCAGTCTATTGACTCACACATCCTTGTAATTCTCCAGTTATATTTCTCCAATTAGATTCCAAGTTAAAAAGTGAACAAGAACAATAACCCCCGAAGAGAAGGGCTTGGGGGTGTTGGTTGATGAGAAGATTAGCATGACCCAGCAGCTTGTGCTTGCAGCTCAGAAAGCCAACCATACCCTCTGCATGAAGAGAATAGACCTGCAGTCCAGGGGAGCTGATTCTGCCTCTACTCTGCCCTCATGAGGTCATGAGACCCCACCTGGAATTCTGCCTCCAACTCCAGGATCCCCAATACAAGAAGCACATGGATTTGTAGCAGGTTGTCCCAAAGAGGGTTATAAATATTCTTAGATGCTCAGAGCACCACTCCTGTAAGGACAGGCTGAGAGAGCTGGGCTTGTTCAGCCTGAAGAAGAGGCTCTGGGGACACCCGAGAGCAGCCTCCTGGTACCTTATGGAGGCCAACAAGAGAGATGGAGAGGGACATTTACAAGGGCACATGGTGACAGGACAAGGGGGAGTGGCTTCAAACTGAAAGGGTAAGTTTAGATCAGATACAAGGAACAAATCCTTCACCATGAGGGTGATGAGGCCCTGGAACAGGGGTTGCCCAGAGAAGTTGTGGATGCCCCATAGCTGGAAATGGTCAAGGCCAAGTTGGATGTGGCTYTGAGTAGCCTGATCTAGTGGGTGGCATCCCAGCCCAGGAAAGGGGGGATTGGAACTGGCTGATATTTAAAGTCTTTTCCAACACAAACMATTCCATAATTCTGTGGTTTTAYGATTCTATGCTTGTAATCTTCCTTAAAGRTCAATCAAAGTTCAGAAATAAACATATGATACAATATGTTTTAAAATAAACATGTAAAATACAGACATATTACAATTCAGATCCRAGAGGTGAGCATAAATACCAGGTTGCAAAGCATGGAGTAGCATCTCTTTATTTTTGTGGAAAATATGTGAAAAGAAATTCAAAGACCACAGAGATGGGGATCCAGGCATATGCTCTCACTSCTGACATTTTTGTGAGCTGTGGATTATTCACGTAAAAGCAAATGGAAAATGCCAGAGGACATTCTTTGGTGATATCACAGATTCACAGTAAGTCATATTTGGGGCAGAGGTCTGCTCAGGCATTTCCTGTTTAGTTTTAGAGTTTCTGTTATGGGCAGCTTGTGTCATGCCTTAGACTGAGAGAAAAGATTGCAAGGGAGCATGGGAATGAAAGGGAAAAGAACTGGCATTGAGAAGATATTGTTCTCATGGAGCTTGCAATTCTTCTATTAAAAATAACCATTTYAATACTTCATATGTCCTGATCTGTCCTCATCTGCCTCTGTCTCATCATTAGAGGCCAGACTCTTGCATGTCCACACACATTATTTCTTATGCCAAGTCGTTGGTTTAGTGCCAGAAAGATTGAGGGCTAYTGAGCACAGTGACAGAGGAAAATAAAGA